TACAATACCCTGATATTTTATTGTAAAACTTCATGACTGGACACTGGACAGTATCACACAATATGGTATAACCATTTCCACAATCCTTCCAACAACATAAAAATTTTCCTCTTTTTCAGTCAGCCATACAGCATCCCTTCAGATTTTACCTGATAATAAAGCTTTGGCTAAGTTTATCACAGATTAAAATTGTAATGCCATGAAAAATCTTAATAGTTACCATTAACTTTTTCTCTAGGTTTCCCATGAAATCATCCACATAATCAGAATCATTCACATTGTTGTTAATGGTGTCTTTCTTCTGGTTATCATAATCCTCAGCAATAACTTCTTCCTCTTCTGAATTTGCTGGAAGAGTTACCACAGGGGCTGCAGTGGTCACAACTGCATACAGAGAATGATGTTAAAACTTTTACTTTATTTACTCTACTAGCATCACCTAAAAATGTTTCCTGTCCATTTTGTTCTCCTTTTAAAACATTACTTAACTTGGGACTGATGTGCTGGAGTGTTGAGAAAAGTTTTCACATACACACCAAAGTCTTAACACATTAGTAGTTTGTAACATGGGCTATTCTTTATCTTACACACAGCAGGGAACAACTGTATGTGGTGACCTGGATCTCTTTGGCACACATCCACACAACATAACATACTGCCAAAGTTATTTGAAAATTGGTATTTCTGTTCTTACTAGACCCAACACTTGAGTATGAGAACTTTGTGATTTATATAGATCTTTCAGCATTGTAGGACAGCATGACACAATAAGCTGGCCATGTAACTAGAGTGGGGAAACAAAAATGCAAATGGAATGTCAGATGAGAAACCTCTATTTAATTTAAAACAAGTTTCCCTATTTTAATGGCTTCATGCTTCAGTCTCGGAAATTCATTTTGGGAACTTCATGGCACTAGTGTCATTTATAGTATTAATAGTTTCTTTGTTTGTTTGCTTATCTTATATTTCTTTTGGGAATTAAACATTACTAATTTTTGGTTAAATGTCTATTACCACCCCATTATGGTAACCAAAAAACAAATGCACTTAATTTAGTGTCCTATATTGCTCAAGGTAAAAGTAGACTGTCGTATTGATACTTTTACCTTGAGCAATTAGATACAATACAAATCATATCCAATCTCTAAACACGGTATATGAAATACTGCTTGAAATGTGCATTACGTGCAACAAGACCAATACAAGTGACAGAGGAAGAATTCAACATTACCTAAAACATACCTGTGGGATGGTTTTGAGCTTGAATTAAACCTCGCTTCGCCAATCGCGATACAAGGGCTGCTGGAAGTGGCATATTAAAAAGGTGATATGTTCAAACTGCATAAAATTTAACTGCTCCTACATCCATAACAACACACTACTTGCTCGCTTGTTTATAATTACACCACAGGCCATACGTCTCTGACAAAGACTACAGAAGCTTCTTTGCATTCAATAACCATACAAATGCAAGATTTGTGCGTACCATCTATCATGGAGTATCTATAATTTTTAAAATGTAGACTACAATATCGGTAGCTCAGTCGATAGAGAACAGTTCCACAAATTATTGTGTACCGACACTGGCACGACGCGAGACCAAAAAGTGGTAATTCATGCGTAACGGAGAACTCTGGAACTCGGGAGGTCCAGGGTTTGCACCTTGGCAAAATTTGTCAATTCATAAAGTCGCTTATGAAGAGAAACAATATCTAGATACTATTTTCAAAGTGATTTATTTTGTTCGCGAACTAAATGAAAATTTGTCGTTTTTAAGAAGATTTATGATTTGATGAAAGGCATTCACTTTCAGAAATTGCATTTCTAGCAAGTAGTTTAATCTTCGTGTACTTGTTAACGAGTTCAATTAATTGCTACAATCAATTTAATTAAACAGAAGTTAATTGAAATTAACACAATCATACATGATAGCTTTCTAGTGAACTGACCCTCAAGAAGGAAGTGTGTACATTCTTCCAAAAAGTTCATAACAAGATTATAGGGTGCCACAGTCCAGAAGATTGCAAGCCACATTTTAACCTCTGTGAAAACCTTAAATCTCAAATATAACTGCAATTCACATCGTAGGATATCAAAAATTTAAAGTGGCTCGCATTCAGCCAGTAATTTCAGTCGTGGCCGTTGCTTTTAAAACGTGGCCTTAAAAGTGAAGGCCAACTTACTGTTTTATTTTTCGTTGTGAACGCTTCTCAGTATTACAGCAATGAACATGTTTTATCAAGTTCATGTGGAGTGCTGATAACCGCTAACTCGTCGTCCTTCTATACCTAACTGCACAACAGTGTCAGAAGAAAATGGCTGTAATTACTCACCTGAAATAATAGATTTGTCCTGCACATATGAATACAAAGTTGTGTACATCATTTTTGACGTAAATACGTCTATAAGGAAGGGTTGTTCGGCAAAAAAGTGTAACGAAAAAGTGTAACAATGGTCACCTAGGGAACGTCGTCTGCTTACTCGGCATTGTTGTTACCTAGGAAACATTTCATTACATTACATTACATTACTTTACATTACATTCAGCTGTTCGCCACGGTGGTCTAGCGGTCAGAACACTAGCCTTGTAAGCCTGGGGTCCCGGGTTCAATTCCCGGTGGTGCTCAAATTTATAACTTGTGTTGGGCAAGGCCGTGGTCTAGGCATCACGGAGTGTTCCTCCAGGGGCTTCCCCGGTTTCTCCGTGGCATCCCAACAATTACTCCACTCACACACACAGAAGAAGGCAATGGCAAACC